CGTGCATATGTGTGTGCGTGTGCAGGCTGCAATCCGCGTGGGAGATGGTTGCTATACGAGCCGTGGTGTCACACTCAGAGATGAGGCCGCCGCCGCATGCCTCAACAGCAGGTTAAAGGGCAATAGAGTTTGTGTGTGGGTGACACTGCGTATCAGTTAGTGTTCCCTGTGAGAGAGCCGAGTACAAGTACATGTGAGAGAGCGTGAGTGGGCAGTGTGTGTAAAGGTCGGGTCATCATCTTACACTTGTGTGCACGGCTTTGACAATTTTAAGTTGCAAGCCTCAAAATGACTTTACTTCTTCTTTTACTTTTAAGCTAAGTTGAAGGTAAATGTGAGCTCATATTTAATGAAAGCGAAGACAAAAGGGACATGTGTAGACGGGAGTTCTTGGTGTATATGTTGGGTATAGTGGAGTGTTTGTTGAGCAAGGAGCTGATAGCAGTACTGTGCTTCATCTCAGCATGTTTGCTGAGCTTTATGCTTTATGCGGGTCGTAAGACAGAGGAAAGAGACCTGAAGAGCGTAAGTGAGGTCTGAAGTGTGACCCCTGAACACAACCTTCAGCTGACTATTTCTTATAAGGGCAAGAAGACCGCCAACTTGCTTATGAAGAATTCAACCGTCACCAATAACGAGATGAACGACACCAGTGTTATCTATTGTAACACCCATGACCCCCCCCCCTCTAGAGTTCACACCCAGGGAAGCCTTCTCCAAGAGGTCAGCCCAGATGACCTCTGGATTATCTTGTATGTTAATTAAAAATACAAAAAAATATAGATAAAAAAGATATAGATAAAAAAATATAGATAAATGCCAGATATAAAGCTACAATACGAATTTAGACACAACAGAAGCACTTCACATCAAACACACACTTCCAACTATCAACAGCCAGCAGCTATCTCCGGTCTCCGTTCACCATGGCAGAGAGAGAACTGATAGTTTATTGTGGGAAAAAGTACGCTAAAAAATACTGTTGCAAAAATGTTAGTGTGAGGAGAGAAATAGTTGTTTTTATTCCCATAACCCCATGATTTCAAATGTGTATAAAAACAAATTGAGTTTTAAATTAAGATAAATAAAAAAATAAGATGGTAAAAAAAATATGGTGCCCTATCTTGGTGACCCACAAGGCTCCCCCGGATGCTGCACATCGTCTTCTTCGAGGTCGAGGGGTCCCTACAAACGCAACCACAGGTGGTACCCATATATTGTAGTATTGTAGTAATACAAGGGTCCCCGAGTTCGATTCCTGCCGAGGCAAGTGCTTTTTCATCTTAAGTTTAATAAGTAATTGGTCGAGACCACAATTACAAATGTTTGGTACCATCTAGCAGCACAATTCTACTCTGATCCTGGTTGTGGTGTATGCCTACAGATCCATCACAACCTTGCGTGGTAGTCTAAAGTCGGCAATGACATTTACAGATGTAGTTACAGTAGTAACCGTTATACAGGTGTGGTGTGGTTGTGGGCGTGGCTCAAGGTTTGCACCAGGTGCATAAAGTAAAGGGAACAAGTGGGCGTGGTGTATCAACGTTGCTGGTGTGGTGTATCAACGTTGCTGGTGTGGTGTGTCAACGTTGCTGGTGTGGTGTATCAACGTTGCTGGTGTGGTGTGTCAACGTTGCTGGTGTGGTGTGTCAACGTTGCTGGTGTGGTGTGTCAACGTTGCTGGCGTGGTGTGTCAACGTTGTGAGCGTAGTGTGTCAACGTTGCGGGCGTGGTGTGTCAACGTTGTGGGCGTAGTGTGTCAACGTTGTGGGCGTGGTGTGTCAACGTTGTGAGCGTGGTGTGTCAACGTTGTGAGCGTGGTGTGTCAACGTTGCTGGTGTGGTGTGTCAACGTTGTGAGCGTGGTGTGTTAACGTTGCTGGTGTGGTGTGTCAACGTTGCGCGCGTGGTGTGTCAACGTTGCGGGCGTGGTGTGTCAACGTTGCGAGCGTGGTGTGTCAACGTTGTGAGCGTGGTGTGTCAACGTTGTGAGCGTGGTGTGTCAACGTTGTGGGCGTGGTGTGTCAACGTTGTGGGCGTAGTGTGTCAACGTTGTGAGCGTGGTGTGTCAACGTTGTGGGCGTGGTGTGTCAACGTTGTGGGCGTAGTGTGTCAACGTTGTGAGCGTGGTGTGTCAACGTTGTGGGCGTAGTGTGTCAACGTTACAGGCGTGGTGTGTCAACGTTGTGAGCGTGGTGTGTCAACGTTGTGAGCGTGGTGTGTCAACGTTGCAGGCGTGGTGTGTCAACGTTGCGGGCGTGGTGTGTCAACGTTGTGGGCGTGGTGTGTCAACGTTGTGAGCGTAGTGTGTCAACGTTGTGAGCGTGGTGTGTCAACGTTGCAGGCGTGGTGTGTCAACGTTGCGGGCGTGGTGTGTCAGCGTTGTGAGCGTGGTGTGTCAACGTTGTGAGCGTGGTGTGTCAACGTTGTGAGCGTGGTGTGTCAACGTTGCAGGCGTGGTGTGTCAACGTTGCGGGCGTGGTGTGTCAACGTTGTGGGCGTGGTGTGTCAACGTTGTGAGCGTAGTGTGTCAACGTTGTGGGCGTGGTGTGTCAACGTTGTGAGCGTAGTGTGTCAACGTTGCAGGCGTGGTGTGTCAACGTTGCGGGCGTGGTGTGTCAACGTTGTGAGAGTGGTGTGTCAACGTTGTGGGCGTGGTGTGTCAACGTTGTGGGCGTGGTGTGTCAACGTTGTGGGCGTGGTGTGTTAACGTTGCTGGCGTGGTGTGTCAACGTTGCGGGCGTGGTGTATCAACGTTGTGAGCGTGGTGTGTCAACGTTGTGAGAGTGGTGTGTCAACGTTGCTGGTGTGGTGTGTCAACGTTGCTGGTGTGGTGTATCAACGTTGCTGGTGTGGTGTGTCAACGTTGCGAGCGTGGTGTGTCAACGTTGCGGGCGTGGTGTGTCAACGTTGCGGGCGTGGTGTGTCAACGTTGTGAGCGTGGTGTGTCAACGTTGCGAGCGTGGTGTGTCAACGTTGCGAGCGTGGTGTGTCAACGTTGCGAGCGTGGTGTGTCAACGTTGTGAGAGTGGTGTGTCAACGTTGCGAGCGTGGTGTGTCAACGTTGCGAGCGTGGTGTGTCAACGTTGTGGGCGTGGTGTGTCAACGTTGCGGGCGTGGTGTGTCAACGTTGTGAGCGTGGTGTGTCAACGTTGTGGGCGTAGTGTGTCAACGTTGTGAGAGTGGTGTGTCAACGTTGTGGGCGTGGTGTGTCAACGTTGCGAGCGTGGTGTGTCAACGTTGCGGGCGTGGTGTGTCAACGTTGTGGGCGTGGTGTGTCAACGTTGTGGGCGTGGTGTGTCAACGTTGTGGGCGTGGTGTGTCAACGTTGTGGGCGTGGTGTGTCAACGTTGTGGGCGTGGTGTGTCAACGTTGCTGGCGTGGTGTGTCAACGTTGTGGGCGTGGTGTGTCAACGTTGTGGGCGTGGTGTGTCAACGTTGCGAGCGTGGTGTGTCAACGTTGTGGGCGTGGTGTGTCAACGTTGTGGGCGTGGTGTGTCAACGTTGCGGGCGTGGTGTGTCAACGTTGTGGGCGTGGTGTGTCAACGTTGCGGGCGTGGTGTGTCAACGTTGTGGGCGTGGTGTGTCAACGTTGTGGGCGTGGTGTGTCAACGTTGCGGGCGTGGTGTGTCAACGTTGTGGGCGTGGTGTGTCAACGTTGCGAGCGTGGTGTGTCAACGTTGTGGGCGTGGTGTGTCAACGTTGCGGGCGTGGTGTGTCAACGTTGTGGGCGTGGTGTGTCAACGTTGCGAGCGTGGTGTGTCAACGTTGTGGGCGTGGTGTGTCAACGTTGCGGGCGTGGTGTGTCAACGTTGTGGGCGTAGTGTGTCAACGTTGTGGGCGTGGTGTGTCAACGTTGCGAGCGTGGTGTGTCAACGTTGCGAGCGTGGTGTGTCAACGTTGTGGGCGTGGTGTGTCAACGTTGTGGGCGTGGTGTGTCAACGTTGCGAGCGTGGTGTGTCAACGTTGTGGGCGTGGTGTGTCAACGTTGTGGGCGTGGTGTGTCAACGTTGCGAGCGTGGTGTGTCAACGTTGTGGGCGTGGTGTGTCAACGTTGCGAGCGTGGTGTGTCAACGTTGTGGGCGTGGTGTGTCAACGTTGTGGGCGTGGTGTGTCAACGTTGCGAGCGTGGTGTGTCAACGTTGCGAGCGTGGTGTGTCAACGTTGTGGGCGTGGTGTGTCAACGTTGTGAGCGTGGTGTGTCAACGTTGCGAGCGTGGTGTGTCAACGTTGTGAGCGTGGTGTGTCAACGTTGCGAGCGTGGTGTGTCAACGTTGTGGGCGTGGTGTGTCAACGTTGTGGGCGTGGTGTGTCAACGTTGCGAGCGTGGTGTGTCAACGTTGTGGGCGTGGTGTGTCAACGTTGTGGGCGTGGTGTGTCAACGTTGCGAGCGTGGTGTGTCAACGTTGCGAGCGTGGTGTGTCAACGTTGCGAGCGTGGTGTGTCAACGTTGCGAGCGTGGTGTGTCAACGTTGTGGGCGTGGTGTGTCAACGTTGTGGGCGTAGTGTGTCAACATTGCGGGCGTAGCAATAGAGGAACCAACTGACGGGCGGGCGTGGTGTGCATTAGTGCAGTAAAAGGACCAGAAGAAAGCGTGGAGCGCGAGGAGCGTGCGGGCGGGCGTGCGGGCGGGCGGGCGGGCGTGGCCGACCGTGGGTGGAGACCCAAGATAAATTGTATATAGTGACTGGTGGCATTATTCAAGGGGATGGGTGTGAGGGAGGGTGGAGATAAGGGTCCAGGGTAGACTCCGTGTACCTTGTCCAGCTAGTCTGGTTATATATGCCTACATCCCACTCTACCTTCGCTCCTTACTAAACAAAAGTGGGTGCAGGACACACTTTCCAAATTGTTACTGCGTGCAGCCCACCAGACGTACGGGACGTCGGAGCCGCTATGTCTGACAGGCGGTGCATATATATACATTAATCTTGGTTTTTTCTTTGCCCTTGGAACACAGCTCTACGACTACTAATCTTCCTATCACTATAAAAACCAGACTAGACCTGCACACACTCTCTGGAAACACAACGAATAGGCCGAGAACCAGCCCACCTGAGAACCAGCCCACCTGAGAACCAGCCCACCTGAGAACCAACCCACCTGAGAACCAGCCCACCTGAGAACCAGCCCACCTGAGAACCAGCCCACCTGAGAACCAGCCCACCTGAGAACCAACCCACCTGAGAACCAGCCCACCTGAGAACCAGCCCACCTGAGAACCAGCCCACCTGAGAACCAGCCCACCTGAGAACCAGCCCACCTGAGAACCAGCCCACCTGAGAACCAGCCCACCTGAGAACCAGCCCACCTGAGAACCAGCCCACCTGAGAACCAGCCCACCTGAGAACCAACCCACCTGAGAACCAGCCCACCTGAGAACCAGCCCACCTGAGAACCAGCCCACCTGAGAACCAGCCCACCTGAGAACCAGCCCACCTGAGAACCAGCCCACCTGAGAACCAGCCCACCTGAGAACCAGCCCACCTGAGAACCAGCCCACCTGAGAACCAGCCCATCTGAGAACCAACCCATCTGAGAACCATCAGTAACTCCCCCCCCCTGGCGTGCGGGTATTGACCAGACTAAATGACCCGTCTCCCTGACGAGGCTGTTCCCGTACAACTCCAGCATCCGTCATCGTGAGGCAGGAGTGTGTTCGTGCAGATGCCGTCTCCTCTCATGTCATCAATCAGGCGCATCACCACACACTGCCAACACACCAGGATGATGAAGTGGCTACATTGGTGCTACTTGGTAGACTCTCCTGAGGGAAGTGGTAGACTCTCCTGGTGGGAGGTGGTAGACTCTCCTGGTGAGAGAGTCTACCTCCTCAGACATCAGCTGACACCATACACACTTGCTGTTAGCGTGACCCACTAACGACGATACATATACAAGACAGTATTGAAACCCACGTTGATACCTTACCTGCTGATACCCTTGACCAGAGCCTCATACCCATTTTGACGTGCAACAAAGTAACGTTATTTGTATTTTGATGAACCAGGGTCGGGTCTGGTTACCTGAGCCCTCTCATCTCTCCGGACCACACGCATGCGCCAGCTCAAGAGTAACGGGTCAAGGGTTAAAAGCTTAGAACACGAGATGAGAATTTCAGGTTTATACTTCGTCAGTGACACTAACGACGTCTGACACTAACGACACAGTGACACGCGATGTTCCACAACATTTAAGGCAACTAGAGTCGTGTATAAATTAAATCTAAACGACGTTAAACGCGACACAGAAAGATACATCTCATGATGTTTCTATTCCAGAGGGAATCCGTAGATATAACCCACAGACACGTTCAACACTGGCGGTGTTATGACATTAGTGTGTGTGGGAACATTCCTATCCACCCGTGTATTGTCAAATATCTTTCACATCATCACTTTACTGCATGTTTATTTTTTACGCAATGGTCACCTAAGATTCGAATATTATCTCGTACTCGAATTAATATAATATAATTTACGGTGGATTCCAGTGGTTTCTGTGTGATGTCTATACAAATGTATATTTTTATATAGGATTTTAAAAGGGCCAGGTAATGAGTGGTATGGTTTTGGTTTGTTTTGGGCTTAAGGCCTCTCAACCAGCAAGCATACTGTAGTCCAGAAAATACTTCACAACATGATATATCCCAAAACTTAGCCGTGTCCCAAATTTACCTACTGTAGGTAGTACATATACTGCTACCTCCCACTGCTGAAGCATTAGGGGAAACAAAATGTGGCCAACTACCTCCATCTCGATCCGGGAATTAAACTCGGGATCCCAGATTCAGAGTCGAGACCGAGCAACCCGTACTACGAGAACTGTATCCAGCTTCCTGGTGAATGTACTCTGAAGCTAGACACAGATATAGTGAAATAATCAATGATGGAGTCAGAGTTGGTCTCCTGTGGATTCCTTCCTATATTGGTCTCCGAATGCATGATAGAACTGATGTTAGCCAAGACTTTTGCTCGTAAAGAGGGAATTGATTACCAACTTGGACTGCCTTTGAGCAGCCTGAGGGCAGCAATATTCCAGGAACATCAACTAAATTTCGGAGACCTGAGGCAAAGTGAAATTCTCACCAGTTACTCCATCAATCATCATTCTATTATGCAGGAAGAACCGCACGTCTATGGGTCATCCAATAATGTAAGCATACCTCTAGATGTTACCACTGCAAGGCTTAGGCAAGGCTACAAGTACCTCTGGCAATTTGTAACATCTGCTGATGTAGATTTGACTAAATGTAAACTCTGTCAGCAGAACTATTCGCATAATTTGCGTCATTATATAATGGAATGTGAAACGCGGAATTTAGAGATAACACCATCAATAATGTCCAAGGAATGTGTAAGTACTTCATTCATAATGATGTGCTGCCCGAAATCTTAGCGAAGTATCCAAAATTTGTTTACTCTAGGGGCAGCCTGCACATGACTGTAAAGCTGCGGCACAGTTGGGTGGGTGTGGAGCAAGACTAGTAACTGTGTGACTCACTATAGATGTAAAGTGCCTTGTATAGTGACTGTTGTGAGCCTCTTGTTGATCACTTGCGACACAAAAGATTATTGATGTGTGTATTTGTGTGGGTGATTAAATATGTATGTGTATGCAATTGACGATTACAAAACACTGATCATTTTATGCGGAAAATGACGCTAGTCATTTTCCGCATAAAATGATTCCGCATTTGAGTCAGTCTGGCGTTGACAAAGGCTTTAACAAAGCCGAAACGTTCACCTCATTTCATATTTCTCTGTGGATTTTCCGCATGTATGTGTATGTATATATGTATACGTATATAGTATACAGTCAGTATATATAGTACAGTATTTCAGTTGCATATAGTCCTGGGGACCATTCAGGCTTGTTCGCATGTATGCGTATATATATATGTACATGTATGTATGAGTGTGTGTACATGTATATATATAACGTTAATAATTTTGTAACTAGCGTCAAAAAATTTATTTGCTTAGCTAAACGAACTAGAGGGTTCAGTTCCTGAACCGATTATGTGCCTCTGTAATCCATTATACCACCGCCCACAGGATGGGTATGGGGTGCATAATAAAGAAAGAAATTGAATTGATATTCCAATAGGGTCTGAGACCCTAGGCCCATGGGGTGAGAGTGCAAGAAGGTTTCTTAAGGATCTTGGTTCCAAGCTCATTGACACCACAAGAGACCCTAGAGCAGCAAGTTTTCTCTTTCAGCGCCTCAGTGTCGCGATCCAGAGGGGAAATGCCCGCTGCATCCTCGGTTCCTGCCCGGCGTCGGAGGAGTTCGAGGAAATCTACAGCCTCTAGGAAGCGAACTTTTTCTTGTGTCCTCTTAATGTTCATTTTTTGTATAAAATCAGATATGTAACTGTATAACCTTGCATAATAAAGTGTACATCATAATAAAAAAAAAAGGGGGTGGTAGGAGAAGTGAACACTCTTTCGTATTCAGAGTTAAATGTCAAGTTTTTCCCTGAGTGCTCTGTGTTCCCTTCTCTGAGGCTGTGGGTCCCTATAATTACACCAGTGGTGGTACCCCCCTATATATATATATATATATAGTCCTTAATATAATTTCTCATTGTCGGGAACAGGAAGGCTGTTAGGCTTATCGAGGTCACCGTAGCGTAGCCAAAAACTGACCTTTTTTTTAGGACACCGATAGGCTATGACTCCAAAGTTCAGAGTTGGTCGTTTGAGCGGTCTGAATTAAGAATGTGTTTACCTGCCGCAACGCGATGTTGTTTTCCACCGACAGGTGACATAGAGGGCCTGGGTGTAGCCCTTCTTCGATACGGGAACGGCCAGGTACATATGGCACCTTTGTCACTGTAGCCCCGTATAGCCCCGGAGACTAACCAAACTATAAAGGGTGATAAATAATCCATTATATGGATGATAGCTATAGTCTATAATCCATTATATGGATGATAAGTTATAATCCAATTCAATCCAATCCTATGCCTACAGTCCCCGTAGCGAAGTGGTAACACACTCGCCTGGCGTTTCGCGAGCGCTTTGGACTGGGTTCGTATCCTGGCCGGGGAGGATTTACGTGGCGCCAACCTTAACTGTAGCCTCTGTTCATCCAGCAGGGAATGATTACTTCGTTGTTAAACGATTTGGCGGGTCGTATTCCGGGGAAAATTAGGATTAAGGACCTGCCCGAAACGCTATGCGTGCTAGTGGCTGTACAAGAATGTAACAACTCTTGTATATATCTAAAAAAAAAAGAAAAAAAAAGAAATCATCTTATTATCAGCTTTATTTATTTATTTAAATAAAAATATCTGGCAGCTTTCTCAAAACCCAAATGTCGAGCACACAATGTGACAACTTTGTGAAAGAGAAACCATGCACTCTCTTGAACATTATAATGTTGTGTTTGAGCAGGGAGCTGATATTGTGCTCCCTATATCTAAATAGCGTACTGCCCCTTACGCCCATATTCAAATAGCCTAATGGGCAAAACTCCTGTATACAATATATCCTCACCCCTTAGGTTAGGTTAGAATGTAATATTTAGGAGGGGGCTCGCGGGGGTTGTGTAGGAGTGGGAAGAACATGATGGGGGGGGGGGGGTTGTGTGGGGGGGGGGGAGGAACAGGCGGGGCTTGTGTTAGGGTGGGAGGGACTCGTGGGTAACGGAGTTGGGGGGAAGGGGGGTGAAGCAGTTAGGTAATCACCATACAAAAGCCAACGTGAGCGGCCGAGACACACAGGCCAGGTTCTATTGATGAGATCCAATAGCAAAGTTGAAGTCAGTGAGTGACTTTTGTTTGAAGTGTCTTTGTCCGGAGCACAGACAATGTATTGGTGCTTTTACCCTCTTTTGTGGGCGGTGTGCGCGGGAGGGAATGTGCTGGACGGGCCTGCCCACCGCCACTGAATGGACGCCTTACTTTCCAAATACTTGCTGCCAAACTTCATACGATATAAAGGTGTATCATTTGTCAACCACGTGGTTAAGCTACTTTAGTTTAGCCTTCGCATTAAAAACCTAAGTATCAATTGAAACATATAAATACGTCAGTACAAGAAAAACTAGAATAGATACTTTAAAACAAGAAACCTGGATAAAGAAAGCTCCGTACCTTGATATAAGTTTTTCATCGTTGCTTATACTAAAGAATAAAAGTGCTGTAGTAATGCTGTTGAGTGTGACCTCAGTAATGCTGCTGATTATGATCTATATATATATATATATATATATATATATATTATATATGACCTTAGTAAATAGGCAAGATGACAATAATATTTCTATATTTTTCTATTTTTTTTCTCATGAAATGATAAAGCTATACATTTCATTATGTATGAGTTAAATTTGAATTACAACTAACGTAGATATATGACGGAACCTAACCTACCCTACCTAACCTATCTCAACCTAACCTAAACTAACATAAGTAAATCAATAATTTATGTTCTTAATATAATATAATAATTATATTTAAAATAAACCAATTGGAAACAATTTATTGAAAATAAAGAAAATCACTCGGCCTATTAAGCAAATCGGGCCTTGCATAGTAGGCCGAGAAGTGCGTTCTGGCTAGGTACGACATATATAACTGGTAGGTAGCCTCGACTACCATCCTCTTTTGTCCGGTCGTGTTGGTCGAGTGGTTAAGGGATCCTGTACATCAGATGCATTGCTTCTGGCAGTATGGGTTCGAGTCACTTCTGGGGTGTGAGTTTTCAGTTTATATATGTGTGTGTGTATATATATATATATATATATATATATATATATATATATATATATATATATATATATATATATATATATATATATATATATATATTATTAAATATGACCGAAAAAGTAAGATTAATAATTCTAACACGAATTTTCTCAATCTTTCGTACATTACGCTTCACTGTTGGAGGTAAATCAAAAATCAATTCTCCAAAATTCATTTTTATTTCTAGTCTGACGCGACACGGGCGCGTTTCGTAAAACTTATTACATTTTCTTTGAAAATGTAATAGGTTTTACGAAACGCGCCCGTGTCGCGTCAGACTAGAAATAAAAATGAATTTTGGAGAATTGATTTTTGATTTACCTCCAACAGTGAAGCGTAATGTACGAAAGATTGAGAAAATTCGTGTTAGAATTATTAATCTTACTTTTTCGGTCATATTTAATAATATATGTCTACAGGAAAGACTGCTACCAAAATATACTAATATGTATATATATATATATATATATATATATATATATATATATATATATATATATATATATATATATATATATATATATATATATATATATATATATAGACATTCATTTATGTCTTCCCTACTTTGACAGGGTAAAATAGCTGCCATAGAAACTGTCCAGGCTCCGGGAGGTAGAAGAACTCCCGAAACCCACTCCAGTATGCTCTCTCCAGAAACTGGTGTGTTATTAAGCACTTATCTACTGAAGGTGATTAGGATGCTTTCACAAGCTCAGGTTATGGTTACATCATATACATCGTTGATGTTGTTGTATTAGATTTAGCTACTCAGAACGAAACGTCCATGTAGCACGGGCTATAGTGAGCCCGTAATTGAGTTCGGTTATTCGCGATAACCTTGTTACTGCGATATTTGAGTCAAGAGTTTTAAATGGAGGTGGGGTTTACCCCTTTTCTCCCGTTACTTTTTCACTGATGTTTAGCATACTGGTTTTAGTCTTTTGTTTTATAAACATTATCTTGATGGCGGATATATATGCACATTGTTCACTAGTGTGTCCCATTCTTCAACTCTTTTTCTAACCATTGTAGTCGCTGTGGATTTTGCATGTCAGATGATGTTGAGTTTGATGCCATCTCTAAGACTTAAAAGTCCCTTAGACTTAAAAATCTCTAAGACTTAAAAGATTACAAATTGTCTTGCTGCTTGGTATGTACCCGAGGATGAGGTGAAAAGGCACCTCACTTATAAGTCCGCTGTAACTTGTTACTCTGCTGTTGGCATGGTGGCTGGTACAGTATGATGTGCGTTCCGTCCTGATCTGGAAGTTGGGTGTAATTTGGTGACAGTTGGCTATTGATACGTGGCTTGCTTTGCTTTATCTATAATGCCTCGCCGATGTCCAGTCTTCTCCTGTCCCTGTATCTGTCGATTATTTGGTGTTGTTTTCCCTCCATTTCTGTTATGGTGTGGTAAGAGAAACAATCTTCGTCCACATGGTTTTATTCCTGCTAGTCACAACAACAAAACAATTATCAGGTACATGGAATATTATTAAGATCATAAACAAAAGAGCATCTGCTCCAAACATGCTACCTCCAACATCTGTAGTACTCAATCCCAACAATTTCCTTCCATGGGGAGTTGTCCGACTGTTAAAGTTGCCGCTGTCTGATAGTTCATCAAGAAGCACTAGCGCCTTGGACCCAGACTCCCCACATTGTAACACTGCTTCTTGCTCAACACTTGTGCACCCGATACAGTCACAGTTAATGCTATTCTTACCTATGTCTTCAACCTCTATTATTGTAAACCATTTTTCCTGAGCTTTTGTTTCACCATTTTCCACCACACTGGCCGGAGAGTTCATTTTCCTGAGACTCTTCCATCCGTGAGACTCCATCCTCTTCCTTACTTTATTCCCCCCCCCCCTTCCCCTCCGTTTCACTCCCCACTACACCCCCCACTATACCCCAGTACACTCCCCACTACACCCCCCCAGTACACTCCGCACTACACCTCCAGTACACTCCACACTACACCCCAGTACACTCCCCACTACACCCCCAGTACACTCCTCACTACACCCCCAGTACACTCCTCACTACACCCCCAGTACACCTCCAGTACACTCCCAGTACTCTACTTAGTATACCCCCAGTACACTCCCCACTACACCCCCAGTACACTCCCCACTACACCCCCAGCACACTCCCCAGTACACTCCCCATTACTTTCCAGTACACTCCCCAGTACACTCTCCACTACATTCCCCACTACACTCCCCAGTACACTCCCCACTACACCCCCAGTACACGCCCCAGTACACCCCATCTGTTTACCATAGCTAACTTTTCTAGAACTTCAATCCACTTGTCCAACTTTCTGAGGTATTCCAAGATCTGTGCACCCACCAGCCTCAGACTCCACAACGCTGCCCTGCAGCACCTCAACCACGAGGCTACACTTTCTCGGCGTCGTCTCCTACTGCCACTAGGCTAGCCTTAATCGTCGCCGTTCCTTTCTCTCAAACGTTGGTCACAGAGACATTCGTTGTCTCCACTGTTCTTCCTTCTTCCTGCTGTACGATCTTGCCTTCCTTCGGAGCTTGTCTACCCTGCTTGTGGGCGCCGGCTTGAAATCTCTCACATGGGACATAGAGAGAACCAGCATCGTTGATGCCTCCACAATTATATTATTTTAACTTTTTAATTATCAATATTTTAACTTTTTGTGTAATGACATTTTCAAATAAAGTTAGATAAATATACACACATACCAATAGAATAGTGGTGGTAGGAAAAGAAAATATCAGTGTTCAGTGAGGATCCACAAGGTCTTCTCTGGGTACTCTTTATTTTCTTCTCCGAGGCTATGGGTCCCCACATTGGCACCAGAGGTGGTACCCTCACAAACTTTTATATATATATATATATATATATATATATATATATATATATATATATATATATATATATATATATATATATATATATATACACACACACACAGTATCAGAAAGAGCTCCACTCGTGAAAAGTTCAAACCTTAGACTGACAGGGGTGAACACCTTGACAAGTTTAGTACTCTGACCAAATAGCTACCAGACTGTTATGTCATTGGTAGCCGAAGCTGTTTCCCTCCAATGACCCAATAGCACTCAGTAGCCAGAGACCAGATGTTCGTTTTCATTGACACAATTCACTTATATGAGAGAACACGAGCCCCAATTGAACAAATCCACAACGGCCATGATGAGGGTTCGAACTTATGCCTGGGATGATCTCGGAGAGGCTGCAGGATCCGTGTGAGGTCAGTGGAACTCCCGATTACAATTCTTTTAATAATGTTGTGGCCTAGTCGACTAAGGCAGCGTATGTGATCATCCCAGGCGTAAGTTCGAACCCTCATCATGTCCCTTGTGGATTTGTTCATTTGATGCATCACGCTATTGTGATTTCTGTGAGCCCTAATTGAGAAGCCCAGTCAGAGTACTGGACTTGTCAAGGTGTTTATTACCCCAGTCATTCTAAGGTTTGAACCTTTCACAAGAGGAGCACTTTCTGATATAATCGGCTTGTGGTTCATGCAAGTTATTGTTATATATGCAGTATATATATAAATTGTCAACCACACTATCGAACCGCCGACCCCATAGTATGAAGGCGAAAACTCTTCCACTGAGCTATCGGGAGACCCAATAGGAAAGATCTGAGAGGCAGGAAACCCCCTGCCTTAAATTTGTTTACAATTTAAATAATACATATTGCCAAAATAAATACAAATCAATCAAATTCCCGAGATTATCTTCTCAAAATCATTGCAAAGTTGCCTTTCAAGACGGAGGAAGTAATGTGGGGAGAGGGAGGGAGGGAGAGAGGGAGGGAGAGCCATCAGTGACGGGCTATATAAGACGGGTGGCTGGCCTGCAGAGCGTCAGACAGTGTCACGCCCCAGCCTGAGTCACACCTCCATCATGTTCACTCGCGTCCTCCTCGCATCTTTACTCATTGGTGAATCTCTTAGTTATTTACTTCCGGTATAATATATTATATATATAATATACATAATATATACAATATCTATATAAGTAGTCCTTCACAAGAGACTGTTAGTTAACGATCTTGCAAAAATCCTTTAATATCTGTAATGGTAAATTTACTTCATAACAATAGACTGCAAATAATTTCTCAATATTTTTCCTTGTTGCCAGAACATTTGTAATCATTCTTAGTGTGAGTTAGGACAATATCTTGCCAGCCACATGAGCAAGAGTCACATGTAAATACTGAGTGCTTGTGGGGGCGCCACCACCAACTGTGACCAACATCTCTACTTTACAGGTTGCTCACTTCCTGGGGAGATAAAGGCAGACACAAGGGTGAGATTATCTTTTGTTGACCATAGTGCACTTATGTACGACCACTGAATGCTTCTCGTGGATTTGAAAGAATATTCACGAAATCTTGTATATTCTTTTTAATGTCCGACATGAAACTTTTAAATTTAATACATTTTTATTAAACAACGACATAATAAAAAGGTTCTTACGGATACACGCAACTTTGTAAATAAGGTGATTCGCACACAGATTTTAAACCTGTGTAACTTAACCGAACCTAACGATATATGAACTTTATCAAATAGACAACCAGCTATGTGCCAACACCTGTATAGCACTTGACTGTATCCTTTGTTTACCCAATCACAATGAAACAAGTGTCAACTATCAACCTCTAACCTTAAAGACAACAGTAACTTAAAGAAATGCATTCTGTGATAAGGCTGATCTTTACTAGTAGCCACCAAGATGATGACAATGTATTCCCTCTCACACTTACTCTGTGACGTCTCAGTCGGCACTCCATTAACAAACGCCTAGTGCCTCACAGTAATGGTTGGCCTTGCCAGACACGTTAAGGCACTGGTGACGCTGAGTCTAGCACAATGACAGCCACTTCTAACCTCTTTCCTGGGATATTAATTAAGACAATTGCTTCTTGCATAACAGTTATCAGTAAACCTGTTAAACCCTAGACTCTACCCATATATCATTGTTAGTTAACCCTTCATCCCACGATAAGGAAGACACTGACCTATAATCTTGGATATTATACACAAGAAGTCTACCAAAGCACAGGGTAAAAATAATTATATCTCAATTCTTAACTCTAAAATTTCCAAGAGCCTTGTAAAACACATCCAAGGAACAGTGATCTTTGATTATATCCAACAGGAAAACTATGATCGTTGAGATGTATTTTAGAACAGTACAGATCCTTGGAATAGTACGACTACCCCATGGTTAACTCATACCTCACTTACAGTACTCAGATAATAATGCAATAATAATAACTTTTAATCCCCGATCTAAGGGCAAAGATATTGTTTCACCTGTGTCTACAGGAAAATGTTGATGATCCCTGATCCCTGTCCACAGGTTAGGCGCGGGTTCGCTGGCGGTCATGGCGGCGGTTATGGTGGCGGCTACGGTGGCGGCCACGGAGGTGGCGGCAGCTACCTGGTGGTCGGTGGTGGAGGTGGCGGCGGCCACGGCCCCAGTGCCGCTGATGTTGCTAACGAAGCTGCCAATCAGGCTACTGCTGCTGCCGCAGGTTTAGGCGGTGCCGCCCACGCCGCAGCTGCAGGAGCTGCAGCAGGTGCCGCAGCTGCCGCTAATGCTGCTTCACAAACAGCTCAGGCCGCGGCAGCCAGCAAGCAGGCCCAGGCCGCTCAGGTGACGCAAGCGGCACAAGGAGCGCAGGCCGCAGCCTTCGCTGAAGGTTCTCTCGCCTCCAAGGCAAACATAGCCTACCAAGCCGCCAAGGTAACAGCTTCTATGGCCCAAGGTCTGGCCGCCAACATTGCCCAGATCCTTTCAGAAGCCAAGGCTCTGGCCAACCAGGCAGCCAACAGCCTGGCCGAACAGCAGAACTTCCTGGCCGCCCAGAGGACCATGGCCTGGCAGGCTCAGCAGGCAGCTAACTCCCTCAACCAACAGCAATACGTGGCACTCAACGACTTGGAAGACTCTGCAGGTGCGGCTGCCCAGGCTCAGGCTTCAGCAACCAAGGCCATCTCCAGGGCCAAGGGCAGCAGCGGCTACGGCTACGGCCGCTAGAAGTGTACATGATGGAGCGGATGTAGGTACTGATAATGGTGATATGAATATATTACGATGTATGCATAATGTTTCCTATTGTGCATATTCAATGTAAAAATAAACAACTGTCTTCTTATAATCCTTGTATTTCTACCTAAGACACTCCACAGTTTGAGACATTTATCAAGGAAGCACCAAATTGAATTTATCAAAACAGATAAATATTCAGAAAGCCTGATCGA